ATTAATTCTGACACATGCTACAATACGGATCAAAGCAGAGGACAATATGCCCGAGGAAGTAAGCCAAGTACGACATGATTCCACACATGAGGACCTGGAGTGGTCAAACTCATACAGACAGCAAGGAGAATGCTGATTGCTGGGGGTTAGGAAGGAGGCGTGGGGAGTTTCATGGGTACCAAGTTTCGGTTTTGCAAAACAGGAACGTTCTGGAGACTGTGTGCATGACAATGTGAATGTTCTCAACCCTGTTCAATTGTACATTTAAAAATAGTCAAGGGGAGGGGCTGGGGATTTAGCTCAGCGGCAAAAGCGCCTGCCTGGCAAGCGCAAGGTCGTGAGTTCAGTTCCCTGTACCAGAGAAAAACAAAACAAACAAACAAACAAACAAAAAAATAGTCAAGGGGGAAAATTTTATGCTATGTACATTTTATAAACATTACATTAAAATGTTTTCCAGTTTAACCAGTTATATGATTAGTTCAAAAACTGAGGAATCAGGAACAACCAGTAATTATGTATTCATACACACACACACACACACACACACACACATACCCGTGTCTCTCTTTTCTGATTTCTTTCCTGGGAACTCCAAGGGGTCTTAGGATTTTGGAATCCTGAACTCACAAATGCTCAAATCTGTTCTTCTTCTTCTGAACCAATATGGCTTCCAAAGTGTCAAGAGATTACCCTTGTTCTAGGCTTTCAGCCAAATCTCCATCACACATCTCACTAACTAGATATCCATTTTGTTTCACAGACTCTGATCAAACGAGAATCTCTGGGACAACCTGGATATTCGTCATTCACAGAAGGGGTAGATGACTTCTAATTGCTGAGATTTCTCTGTAGCTAATAATACTAGGAAAAAACTTTGAATGGGACGAGGATGAACAGGGGGACAAGAATGATTCTAGAAGACGCTGTCTTTTGGGGCAAGAGAGATCTAGAAGGAACACCTCAGCCGGGGGCGGGGATGGCACTGAACTGTACAGAGGGCACAGGGCTGGGAGGGAATCAACATGGGGATGTGGAGGGAGACAGAATGAAAAGACCATTAGGAGGAACTTTACAGACTTGGTGATGTCTTATGCATTTTATGCTGCTATAACCAAATCCCTGAGACTAGGTAATATATGGCATAATGACAGAAATGTATTTGCCTCATGGTTCCAGAGGCTGGGAAGTCTAAGATCAAGGGGCCACATGTGGAGAGGGCCTTCCTGCTACTAGACAGGGTGGAAGGCATCACGTGGATGAGAGAAAACTCATGGTCTCGAGCCCTTCTACAATCAGCATGATCTATGCATGAGGTGCAAACCTTTTAATAGACTTCACTTCCTTATACCATTGCATTGGTCATTAAGTTCCAGACATGTGTTGGGGGAGACACACTCAAACCATGGCAGTGATGCTGCCATGTTCAGCAGAATGCTGTCTGGTTTGTTCACTGGCCCCTTCTCCGGAGAAGAGCACCACCTCCCGCTCACCCCACCCTGCACAGCCTGTTTGCTGCAAGGAGCGGTAACCAGAAGTGCCTTTGAGGGCCATTATTTATTATCCCACTGAGCTGCTAATTCGGTCACAACCACGTCTAGGGTGGAAGGGAGAGAATTCCTCAGAGGGATGGAAGAGGTTGAGGACCCTTGGGCACTGGCTAGGAGAAGTGGGCCAACTGCTATAGTCTGGATGTCACACGTCCCCCAGAGTTGGAAAGGTTTCACTGGGCTAAATAACACATGGACTTTCTTTCTCATTTAGAAGCTTAGATGTTTGATCATCATGGCTACTTGTGTGAACACTCTAATAGCAATTCTAAGTTGTGACCCTAGAGCACACAAGGCTTGGTCCTCAGGGTGACAGTCCTGGGATGTGCTATGGACTTTTAAGAGATGGAACCTTAGGGAAGGTGCCCAGGTCACTGTGGGTGTGTCCTCCAAAGGGACTGTGAGATCCTGGTTTTTCTGTTCTGTCTACTTCCTGGTTCAAGATACCATTGGTCTCCCTCTCCTTCTCCTTATCCCTCCTGCTCTCCCACTTTCTCAATATGATTTGCTACCAACACGACAGGTCCAAACTCACCAGAGGTCCAAATCCATAGGGCTGCCTGATCTTCAAGCTGAATTTATCAAACCATAAGCTGGAACAAACCTCTCTTTACTTCATAAGCAGCCTCTCTCAGGTATTTTGCTATAATGATAGCATCCTGATGAATACACCAAGACAGCTGCCCATCTGCTCTCTACCCTAAGAGGCTCAGAGTGCTCAAGTAGTAATCAACAGAACCTCACTGCAGCCCAACATGGACTCTTGCAAGGACATATATGGAAAAAAATATTATAACAAAGAAGTTTTCCTTATTCCCAGCTGCTATAATGGCTCTTTCCCTTCACCAAAACCTGGGGGCCCAGGTTAAATTTTTCTGGTGCTTTTGGATCCCTCTGAATGCAGCCACTCAACCTCTCCCATCTCACATGAGCCACATGGCTAAGGAATCTGCTCCTTCCCTCCCCAGATCCTTGCTAGAGGAACAGCAGGACCTCGGTATGACAGCTGAGCAAAGCCACTCTGACCATACATCACAGCACCTGCAAAGTGAGACACAGGAGGAGAGAAGCCATGAGTCAGGGTCCCAGGGAGCCACCCAGTCTACCTCTTTGTCCCAGAGCTTCTGAGGGATGTGCTGAGAAGCTTTAGGCCACCCTGCTCATTAGCTGAGAACTATGTACTGACCACTCAATTTGGTCAAAACGGTGTGCCCAACTGTGCTTTTGGAAATCACCATTGTTATAAACATATGCACATATACATGCCTTTTCCCTCTTACGCAGATATGAAAAATTCAGACGTTCTATGCACCAGTCCACATAAGTGATCTTAATCACGAATGGCCAAATCCCATCTATGCATCTCTTATGCAGTGATGCTGGATTGAACATGCAAAGTCAAGAAGGGCTGCAGAAAGGCCGAGCCAGAATCACCCTCTGTTACTAATAACAAGACAACTGCAGTCAACATCGGTTTGCAGAAGCTGAAACTGCCTTGGCTTTTGGCTTGGCATTTTCTCTTCCAGTCTCTCCTTCTTGTGTGCTCTAGGGTCACAGCTTAGAATTGCTATTAGTGTTCACACAAGCAGCCATGATGATCAAACATCTAAGCTTCTAAATGAGAAAGAAACTCCATGTGTTATTTAGCCCAGTGAAACCTTTCCAACTCCAGCTGCAACTCACCTCCATCATTATGGGGTGGCCACTCTCAACTCCTGCCCCTGATCCGCCCTTCTTCACGGGAGCTGCTCTGATGCCCCAGGTGTTCCTGCTCCCTGCAGGACACTGCCTACGCCCCCTGCCTTACAAGAGGCTGTTCACACGACCATGCTGCCCTCTCCAATCCTGGCCCTCACCTCATTTCACATCCAGCTTCAGTACGAGGTACATACAGAAATAGAGACCTACTTCAGTTACCTGACTGCTTGGAACAAAGCAAGTTTTTTGGGTTAAGATTCTTCTAGTTGCCTCCTAAGTAAACATGAATACAAATAAATATGCATGAATATAAAACACAATAAATCAGAGGATGGGGCAAATTAAGTGATGAGTTGCATCACCTTTTGAAAATGGCAGCAGATGGCTATTTTTCCTAAGTTAGTCCTACAAAAGGGAAAAGCCACAAGACTGGGCCGTATTAGCAGGCAGTAACATCATGTCCCAACCAGTACAACTCTTAATTGTCCTCTGATGCTTTCACAGCGTGTATACAGCCTGGATGGAAATAAAAGTTCATGGAATTCCTCAGTGAATATGTGCAGACCACCTCCAACTCCCCAGAAGTCCTTTAAAATGAAGCTTCTTAAACTTTGTATGACTAACCTTCCCCCTGCCCTGGAAGGCAGGGCACACGACAGGTATGCAATATATCACCATTCATTGATCGATTTTGCATCTTCACCGTGGATGTGGGAGAGAAACAGCGAACAAGGGTTAACACATCATGCACTGGAAATGATCAGCTGAGAAATTAAGGCAGTGAAAAACTATTGCACAAGTAGAAAGGTCACCCTGGCAAAGAAAACGTTATGTGTGAGAGGACACTGTTCATATTTGCCAGACAATGTGGAACATTTTTTTAAAATCAGGGCTAACCAAAGTAGCCTTCTTTGTCTCCCTATTAACACAGGGTAAGGGGTTTAGTCTTCCCACGTGGGGCGTTTATTCCCATTTTCTTTTCTTCCTCCCACCCCTCCGAATGTAATCCACTCCATCCCCAGCCCCAAAGTGCCTCCCCACAGCGCGGGGGGAGCGCTGTGAAAAGCCCTTGCTGAGCTGTTCAGGGCAACTTTGTTCTCCACATGGTCTATTTAGGAGACTTGGTTTCCTCGGGTGACTCCTCGGCCTCCCTCGCTCTTGCATGCCTTGAACGCCAGTCGCAGGTGCTGAGCGTCTTGAAGACGTCCGGGAGGAGCTGGCCATGGTCCTGACCTCCGAGCTCAGGATGCGAGCGCGGACAGCACCGGAGGAGTGGGACCGTCGGAACCCCAGCCCCTCCCGACCCCCGGGGAGCCCGCGGGCCTTCCCGCAACCCCTCCACTGCGCGCTCCGAGCTGCATCAGAAAAGGGTGGGGCATCCAGCCACGGCTGCAATCGGAAGGCGCCCGGGAGGAGGATTTAAGAAGAAAGGAAGCATGGTCCATCCAAGCCCCGTGCGCGACGCCCCCAGCCGGGGATCAGCCTGTCCTTTCCACCCACCCCCCAGCTCCCAAGCCCAGGGAGTCGCGGGCAGTCTTTGTGGGCGCACGGCCGCCCACCACGAGCCTCGCCGCACCCTGCGCAAGAGGGGCGTGCGGGGAGGGCGCGCGTGCAGATGCGGAGCCGCGTTCCGGGCGGGGCCTGCGGGAGGGCACGCGGGGGGGCGGGCGGGCGGCTCTCCGCGAGGGGAAAGAGGAGAAAGGGGGCGATCCCCGCGCCCCGCCCCGGCCTCCACCCCAGCCCCATACCAACCTGGTCATAGATGTTCTGCAGGGCTTCCTTGCCCGAGGCCCGCCGGATCTCCACCTTCCGGCCGGATTCAACAGATGGCTCCTCGCCGGGCCGCCGGCCCTGCCGGGAGTAGGGGGACTGCGGGTCGGGCCCGAGGTGGGCGACGTCCCGCTGCTGAGCCACCACCTGCCCCGAGCCCCGGCCCACCGACAGCGAGTCGAAATCGATGGTCTTGTTCTCCGAGGACCCTTCCACCGGGCAGAACATGCCACAGAATTTCTGCCGCGGCTTGGGGCTGCCGGAGCCCAGGTTTTTAAAAAAGGCAGGGACCTCTTCGTCCTCTGCTGCCTTCCCGGATTGCTTCCTCTCGGCCATGGCGCGGGGGCTCGGGCCGGTCCTCTGCGTCCGTCAGTCAGTCCGTGCGTCCTCCCCCGGGTCCACGAGGCTCCCCGTCCCCGGGCACAAACCCCTCGCAGCCGCCTCGTCGCCCGCAAGGTGCACAGAAAGGAAGCCGCGCTGGCGAGCAGCGACCCACCCTGGCGGTCCCTCCCCCTGACCTCGCTTTCTCCCCTCCCCGCCCACGCCCCCCGCGGCCGCCGCGCGAGCTGGGGCGAGCGGCAAAGTTGGGTCTGGGAGCGCGGTCGCTGCGGCAGCGGG